ATAAATACTAAAAAAATAAAAATCTTCATTTAACATTCCTGACCTTAAACCATTCATTTATTTATGGGTTAAATTAACACCTTTGGTAGGCCACTATAAATTTATTGCCATGTTATACTTAACCTACGTCACACTTCACATACGTTTGTGTCTTAAGAGGCCCAATTCTCAAATTTTGTAAGTGCCAACCACCTATGAATTACAAGAATTTGCATAGAGGAAACTAACATCAGCTTGGGGTAGCCCTAGCTGGTGTTGCTCAGTGGATACAGTGTAGGCCTGTGGACTGAAGGGTCCGGGGTTCGATTCCAGTCAAGGGAACATGCCTGGGTTGCAGGCTCAATCCCCAGTAGGGGGCGTGCAGGAGGCAGACCATCAGTGATTCTCTTTCATCATTGATGTTTTTATCTCTTTCTCCCTCTCCCTTCCTCTCTGAAATTAATAAAAATAAATAAAAGCTACTGAGCAAAATATGTTACTAAAAAAAAAAGAAGACGCTTGGGGTAAAAGATGTTTTGATTATTTTGCGTGGCGTGTTTTGTCTTTCAAACACTAGTTAAAGGTGTAACATTCCGTTTTCTTTCACGTATGATAAACACAAATTTGATCAAATTGCAAAGGACTGGAGAGCAAAAATTAAACTAAAGCAAAGGCAATAAAAATATTATCTTTATCACCAATTTGAAAAATAGAATAAGCAAACACCAAAAGATAAAAAGATTTTCCACATAAATGTCAAGGACAAAGGTAAATTTGCCCTTATGTTAACTAATAGTTATTTGGGTATTCTTAACATTCCCCAAGATATTACTATATTTTCTCTGTCAAATCCTTACTAATCTCAACTTGAGATTAATTTTCACATTCAGTATTAACTTATGAATAAAGAATATTTTTTGAAAATTATCAGTGGACACGTTTTTTCACTCACATATCTAGTTTTAAGATGTAAAATTATTGTATGCTTATTGAAAATTACTTCTTCCTTTTACGACTTAAAAATAATTATTAAGTTACGGAGATCTCTATAGATGCTTTATTCTAGTTTTCCGTAAAATAAGTCATTTTTGTACGTTTGAAAACTCAGGAAAATGGGTAAAGCGACTAAAATCCATTAAGTAGCAACTAGAATATGGAATTCGATTTCGTTTTGGAAATATAGTTCTTTTAAGAATCCCAAGATCTCCAAATGCAAAATTCTAGGCCATTTCTAAAACGTGATCAGTAGTATCATTAAAAGGAATGTACACTTAAGATCGTAAAGGTAATTTTGCTGACTCAACTCCTGATTTATCCTGGAGCACCATTTTATTGGAAAGTACTTAATGTCTTTCTGTTCTGATAGAAACTACATGTGTCAACTATTTCAATGTTAATACAAAAAAGCTTTGATATAAAGAAATGGCTTTTGATGGGCTTTTTCTCATCTTTTCAAGATAAATAGTCCGCCGTTTGTTTCACTGACAAAATTTACTGATATTTTCCTACTCAAATTGTGGTAGGCACTAAATTTCAGATGGTGGGTAAAAACATTTACTTACTTGCTATATAAAATACAGACTTCTGCAAAGATTTCCTTTATCCTCAGATATAAAACTCCATGGTCTCTTCTTCAAAATAGTTTCTTTTGGGGGAAAAAGAAATATTCTAAGCAATTTATTGATTTAACAACCAACAGCAAGTAGGGAGAAGTGTTTTTAAAACTTTTTATTATATAAAAGAAACAAAAACTAAAATCTCTGTTCACAAAAATTGATTTTTAAAATGTTCTTCCCTAAAATCTATTAGTAGAAATAATAACTAGCTCAAATTTTCCAATAAATTTATTTATTTACATGTTTAAAAGATTAAAACTGTTTGCACAGGGTATTAGAGACCTAAAAAGAAAAAGTCTATCTTTGGTTCATGGTTTTCCTCAAAATATAATTAGTCTTTTTTTGTTCCCAAAATTAAACAAAGGCTTAAAGGACCTTTCAGTGTTTCAAACTATATACGGTTGAGTTACAACAGCTATGCATATATACTTTCTATCCCATGAAAAGATTTAAAAGCTTGGTAAAACTATTTCTGATATTTACTCATATTCATAATCACTACTTGCTGGAAATATAAATTTTCAAAAGAAGAAAAACAAAACCTAATAAGCTTATTTTTATGTCAAAGTAATAAAAATTTACCCAGTCTTACCTCAAATAAAAGAGCTGTATCTGTTCAGAACCATCATCAACCAAATTTTATTTTAATCTTGTAAGTTACCTTAAAAAAAAAAGGAAGATATCAATGTTTTGATTTTTAAACATTTCTTGGCCTAAGTTTCAGTATGATGAAACGATGAGAAGGAAATACTCAATAATCTATGGATAAATGTAAGAGACAGGTCATCACACACTACCTGTACATTTTAGGTCTCCGTTATTTCCTATCTGAACATCTATCAGTCTTTGTTTTCCTCACCTTTTGGTTCTATAGACTAATACTTGTGACTAAGGCATTGAAATTAAAAAATGCAGAAGGTTTACATCTTTGGACAGATTTAAGACTATGACCTTGTTTTTATCTTTCCTCTTTTGATGACAGGCAATACCAAAAAAAGGGGGGAAAGTTTACCATTTTCTAAGACTCAAATATTAACATTTCCCTTCCCATCGAAGAATGCCCTTAAAAATTATGAGTAATTGAAAATTTACTCTTCTAGGAGAAATTAGGGAAGTTTAAAATGGCCACTGGTTACTTTAAATTTTAAATTACAAGTTATTTGATCTCACCAAGGGGGATACTAGCTTTGTCTTTTAAGCAACTTTCAAACAAGTAGTAACTAGGATATTTATTCAATTTCAAACCAGGGTCTTTAACACGTTCCGTCTCTCCCTGCCCCCATTACTCTTGTAAAAAGATCTGATGAGGTAGAAAATACCAGCAATTATTTTGCATTTCACTATTCAAAAAGGATTCTGAGATACGAATTCAGAATATTCATTTAAGACCACTTTCAGCATCCAAAAATTTCAAAAGACGTCAACTTGAAAAAACAAACACAACAAACCTGGTACCTAAACAACAGAGCCTGTGAAATCAAGATATGCGCCACTGATGTAACATGTAGCACGAGATGCATGCTATTCGGAAATAAAACCATTTTACCAACAAAAATACCTTCCGAAATGCGGTCCATCACAGCAGTTACCTTTGATCTTAGAAGGACTGGGTAAACTTGAGTAATTTACCAACAGCCTTTTTAGGCAAAAAAAATCTGCACTTTACAGCACCCATGCCGCAGAATGGAGACAAATATATTCCAAAAACACACAAAGGTTTTCTGCACTGGCGGTCTCTTGCAAAACGCAAACTTAAATTCCCTCCCCAGCGTTATTCCCAAAGGCACAGGCGGGGAGGACTGCAGCATTTCTGAAACCGACACCTATTAAAAAATACTGTGCCGGGGTAGTAACATCTAGATGTTCGTGCATGCAACAAATGCAACAAATATGGCTCCCCTGCTCCGTCCATTTCCAGAGAGCAAGCCTACTTTAATATTTACACTGCGAGAAAGTAACTCCAAAGGGAGCTCTGGGGAGGGAGCCGAACAGCCCTTTGTAAAAGTTTTGTCGACCACGGCTTGGGACGATACGGGTGATGATTATTTTTTTAAAAAACCGTAAAATGACGAACTGAAACTTTTAAAAGTCTAGGTCCTAGGCGCAAGGCTCAAGTGCGTTCCAACATGCAGGTGCGATCAGTTTGCAGATAACGGCTCCTGATGACCTTTTTTTTTAAAAAAAAAAAAAAGTACCGAAAGGGGTGTATTTAATCACCATCCAAATATCCAAAAGCCGAAGCAACTCGGGAAATGCCACTTATTATGAACCAGACGTCATCGCCCTGGCCCCAGCGTTCAAATCTATTCCCATTAAACCGCCCTGACATGACAGTAAACTTGTCTTTCCCCCTTTTTTTTTTTTTTGAAATGCCAGCCGCACTCCTCCCTCCTCCTCCAACTTGCATTTTTTAAAAAGACAACCCTCACGTCATCAAGGTTTTCCAGGGGCGGCAAGTCCCTTCTCCCCGGTGATCCCCGCAGCCGTTTTCAACATCGGCTTTGAAAGAGTTAAGAGCCAACACCCAAAAGGGGAAAAGAAAAAAAAAAATAAGAAAAACACACAAGTTTTATTTTTTTTCTTTCAACGTAGCCCGGCTTCCATTGTTCTTTTAAACTCGATCGCCCAAGATGAGTTCCCACCTTACCGGAAAGAGGTGAAAAAAAAGCTCCCCCGTTAGGAGAACCCGAAAAAAGGGTCCTTTTACCCCAAACATCAAAAGAACTCCCACATCGGAACGGAAAGGGCTTCCTCGGTCCTCTCTCGGCCCCCTCCGGGCTCCCGCCAACGGGGACCCGCC